ACCCCTGACACTCTGTGATCCTGTGATTTCACAAACCAGCTAGTAGGTCTGATTGATAGGATGATAGTTGACTGGGTAAAAATGTTTACCCTTGAAGTTGGAAGCATCAAGTGTCTGAAGAGCTTTGAGTGCTGCAGCACGTTTGGGTTTTGAATCTAAGTCTTGGTTAGTATGTCAGATGAGGTTATTTGCAGCTTCAGAGAAGACTGTTTTCAGTCAAATTTCAGTGTCACTAGATGTAAAAGTGCAACTGTGACTGTTCCTGTGGATTATGAAAATTGCTGCACCTAAAAGACTTAAAGACTACTGAAAAGACTTCTCCATGCTTATGGAGCTAGGAATCCTCCTTGCCTTTCCAAACCTGCTCAGTGGGAGAGGTTTCTGAAGCTGGTAGGCTGTGGGCAACGTGTCACCAGTGATGTTTTTCTTTCTCTAGGGTTGACGTGCACAGAACAGAACTTTATAACCAAGGCTGGTTTCCAGCAGGCTGCAGCTGAGCACGGCCTCATCGTCGTCGCCCCAGACACCAGCCCACGTGAGTCCTACCAAGAGAAGGGTAAAAAGGAGGGAGTGCTGCAGGTTGCTGTGAAGTGTGTTGCCCACCTGAGTCAGAATCTGACCCCAGCCCTGTATCTTGCATCATTTCCTAGGTTATGTGGACTGTATTCTTAATAACTTGCTAGTGAGTGTTTGACAGTTGAAAGTCTTATTGTTGTGGCAGTGAAACTAGAGCAAAGGGGGCATTGAGTTCAGCACTGACAGGGAGAGGAGGGGAAAAAAAGGGGGGGAAATGGAAAACAAGAGGCTTGTGTTCTCATCAGAAACACTTGCCTGCACTTTGTGGCTTGCTGAGACTTTAAAAACATGCTGACATGTGGTTTTGAACTGGGTAGCTACAGGAGAATTACCTTCCAAGAGCTGGGAGGTGCATTTGGATGGGGAAGAAGACCACAGAGAACATGAAATACCTGTCATCACAGCCCCCCTGTCAGGTTTTTGTAGGGGTTTGCTTTTCCAGGCAGGTGTGCTGAGCAAGTATTTTGCAGGTTCCTTTTCAAATGTCTTTTTTCAAGGCTTCCCCAAGTTTCTTTTTGCAGCATCAGCGTTGCCTTCGTTGCCTGACAGGACTTTCTGACTTGTCCATCCCTGAGGGACTGAAGACAGATAGACTTTTATATCTATCTGACATGTTGTGCAAGCACTGCCAGCCCCTGGGACTGCTGGGCTGTGGAGTTACAGCATCACTTGGTGTTCAAGGGCACCTCACTGCAGCAGACTCAGCTTTGATGGTTGTAAAGAATCTGACTCCTCACTGTGACAGGGTGGCAGGTACCTGCACAGATTGTCAGGGGCTGTCAAGCTCCACCTTGGTTTGCAGTGTGGTGTGACAGCAGGGAAAGCCTGTGTGATTTTGGACTGCAGGAACCAGGGACATTTGGAGAGAGGGAGGCAGTTATTACCTGTCACACACACCCTGAGGCATTCCATTCTGTTCTGCACACAGGCTGGTAAATCAGGAGCTAATCAAAGGCAGAGCAAGAGAGGACTAGATGGGATAGATTGGCTTTGAAGGAGATACCTGCAAATTGACTTTGAAAGTGTAGCCTTGGAGAAGAGGAGACAACCCTGCAGTTATTCAAAACAGACAGGACTTCAGTGTATTGGGGAGTCACAGGTAGGAGCAGTGAAATGAATTGGAGGAAAGGTGGAGTTAGGGACTTGTTGGAAGCTCCTGAACTGATCTGGGCCCAACATTTGGGGATACATGGTTCTGTCCTTCTGAGGGGACAAAAATTTTCTACACTCCCTGTTTCTCACAGAGTTTCTTGTACTGGATGGGATGAGGTCTAATAACCAAAATAAGCTGATTGACAGCACCAATGAATGGGCATCAACTTTGGAATAAGTCCCTGGGAAAACAGAACACACAGTTGGAAGGGTAGAGACATGTTGATGGAGGAACTCGTGTCCCAGGTCTCTGATTTTTGGCAGATTCTCCAGTTCTGAATGCCTGGTAAAGGAAAGATTAACTATAGAAACAATTTTTGTGGTAGGTGGCTGCAATATTGAAGGAGAAGATGAGAGCTGGGATTTTGGCACTGGTGCTGGCTTCTATGTGGATGCCACTGAAGATCCTTGGAAAACAAACTACAGGATGTATTCCTACGTAAAGGATGAGGTGACTTTGCTGCTGGGGTCTCCTGGAGGTGTTGGGTGGGATGGAGAGGTGGTGTGGTTCAGACACACTGCTTGTTCCCAGAGCCAGAGCTTGCTGAAGGTGGTCTGTGCATGGTTTCTCATGTTCTTGCTCTCTTCTTCTGTAAAAAGAATTCATTATTTCTTTTTAATCACTCATTATTTCTTTTTAACCCCTCATTCTTTCAGTGTTTGGGTTTATCCAGCTTTGCTCACCAAACAGATACCCCTGTAGCACCAAGGAGGGAGAGGATGGCAGCACAGAGGTGGTAACACCATCAGGGGCTGAGCAGGAGCTCCTTGACTCTGCTTTCCTGCCAGAGGTGGTCTGGATTAAAACTAAAACTGGTGGGAATATGGGAAGCAAATCATCTCCCAAGAACAATTTACCATTCTGGTCACTGAGAGGTATCTTTATATCTCTATTAAAAGACAACTATGTTTATTAGAAAATTCCCACATCTTGTGTCACAGGGTTCTGGTAGTATCTCTGTAGAGATACTTAGAGTTTTTTATGATCAGATGAATTTTTTCTTTTTGATTTTACAGTCCTGTGCAAATTTCTTTCAGGCCCTGATCACAGATGTGAAGCTTAGAACTAAAGTTGTGACCTCAGTTTCAGTGGCTTCTTTTCCTAAACAT